ATTTTATTATTAATATTTTATATTTTAAACGAATAAAATTTTAGAATAATTTCTTTTAATATAAAAAGATACACCCCTCGAAGAGGTTAATTTTATAAAAGTTAATTTATTCAAGATAAAAACACCGTAGTAATTAGTATACATTTATTGCATTAAAATAACAGACCAATGTACATTAGGATCTCGACCAAAAAAAAACAAAAAAAATATGCAATATTAAGATACACGTGCAGGGACGAGGAAAACGTTCGCATAAAAATTGAACAATCTCGGCGAATTATTCGTGAAAAAGAAAAATTGTAACAAATTCGTGCGAGACAACCATGCAGGTGTATCTTTCTTCAGCGATCGCATTCTCGATTTGTAAAAAAATATTTGAACGACAGAAATATGTTCAATAAGGTAATAAAATGCAAAAATTATCCGCTAATACGCAAATGAGTAAAATTTTTGTTGCGAGACTCTGGTGTCATTGATAAAAAAAAAAGAAAGAAAGGCAAAAAGGAAGAAACAGAAAAATAATATCACTTACAAAATAGCGATTTTTCGATAAAATTTGAAAATCCTAATCGCAGTTAAAACCCGCGTAATCGCCATTACGCGACAATTTCCTTCGCAAAACGAGCTATAAAAAAAGAATTTAAAAAAAAAATCAAATTGTAAAATTTTGCAAACCTGCCGCATTATTTTTCCCTAAACTCCTGGCTCTATTATAATAATTCATATTTTTCCTTTTTTAATTCAACCTTCTTAAATTAATTTCTTTAAACCCCTTTTTCTTCATCTCACGAATACCCATGACTCTCCCTGTCACCATATAAATATTTTTTGAAAATAAACACGTGAAATAAATATTTGGAAAATTATATTCAGTGATCTGTTTTGTATTGCTATACCTATAATTATTGATCTTTCGTTATGTAAGTTCGAGTTTATTGATTTTCACTATAGTTCAAGTTTCGAGGACCCTTTTTATTTTATTAATTCTTTTATCTATAGTTATTGAAGCTTAGGTATTAGTTCAAGTCTAGGTTCGTGAAAAGATGGTGACACGGAGATTCGTGTACTCGTGACGACGATCAACCCTCTCACAGAACGTATTTTATTTTATTATTATTTTTTTTTTTCTTTTCATATTTTCAAATCGCAGAAATTTGATTTCGCTAAATAGTGTTTAACGAATTATCCTAGATAATTGCCGACATTCTCAGCTATCTCGTTCATAGAGCTGACCTCCCTTGGAACTTGTTCGTTGAAGTTCACCCCTTCTTCGGTGGAAATGCTCGCATTTGTTTCAGCAGCGCCTTCTCCACCCTGGGTGGATTTCTGTTGATTCTCTGACGAAGCTTGACCTGCAGGATGAACATTTTATAAACAATTACAACAGTCAATTGATAAAGACAACGACTTAAAGCAAAATTGTAAGATTAAGATCCTTAGACTGCTAAATGACTGAAATAATGGTAAATCTGTTTAATAAATCTGGAATTTGAACAAATAAATGTTATTCACTTTGAAAATTGAAGAAATACAGGTGAATATTATATAAAATTTGAAAATTGTAGAAATAAAAGTATACCCCTAAAGTTTAAAAAATTGAGGAAATAGAAATGACTGCAAAAATTAAAAAATTGGGGAAATAAATATAAATCCAGGAAGCTTGAGAATTGGAAAAGTAGAAATTGATCCACTAAAATTAAAAATTCAAAGAATAAGCATAAATCTAGAAAGCTTGAAAATTGGAAAAGTAGAAATTGATCCACGAAAATTCAAAATTCAAAGAATAAGCATAAATCTAGAAAGCTTGGAAATTGGAAAAGTAGAAATTGATCCACGAAAATTCAAAATTCAAGGAATAAGTATAAATCTAGAAAGCTTGGAAATTGGAAAAGTAGAAATTGATCCACGAAAATTCAAAGTTCAAGGAATAAGTATAAATCTAGAAAGCTTGAAAATTGGAAAAGTAGAAATTGATCCACGAAAATTCAAAATTCAATGAGTAAGTATAAATCCATAAAAGTTTAAAGTGGAGGACACGAAAGTTAATGCATAAAGGCTAAAGAAATAAAAACACCCCATAAAGGTCAACAGTAAATAAAAAATAAAATAATTAAACAACATTGGAGAATTAAAAACATTAATTTTAAAGATCGAAGAAACAAGATTAATTTTTAAAAAATAACAAAGTTGAGGAATACAAATTTTCCAAACGACAAAAGATTATTTATAAGATTGCAAAGTGGAATTAATGAGTGTTAATTTTCTTACGGGTTATTTATTTATTCTCATTCTGTTATTTACTCAGGGGTCACTAACCTTGGCCAAGATCTCGCGCCTTGCCGTGATAAGAATACTCGCGTGCGTTCGCCAGGCCAGCGATAACACAGGCACTTAGGGCACTTCGATTCAGATTCATCGGCGATGCATCGTACCATTCGTTACTGTCTGGGTCGTAACATTCCGCGTATGCAATCGTCGTGGATCCTGTCGAATTAAGTGTGCAATTAGTCTCTGTTAGCGTTGGCATAATCCCGCGAATTAGTATTCCACAATTGCTAATTGCTGCATGATTATGACTATGGTGTAAATATGTAATTACAGCACTATGCTGGTAAATTATAAATTATTTATAATATTATGAAGACATTACTATATGTAACATAATTTATAACAACATAATGCTATACATACATATTGTATTTTATTTAATTA